AAAAAAGACAGACAGACAGACAGACAGACAGACAGACACAGAGAGAGAGAGGGAGATGTTTTTGTATGTATGTATGTCTGTCACATGTTCGCATATCCCGGCAACCGTGTGAACGGGAGAAGCTCCGCGAAGAGCCCTTGCATCGGGACTCATGAATCAACGTTGCAAGGCTTGGTGTCGTGGCTTACCATAAGCACAGCTACGAGGAGGCCCGTCAAAGCTCCGCGAGGATGTCCGTAATCAGGACGCTGCTTTGCGCCATCGGCTTGCATCTTTGCTGCGTGGCACGCGCGTGCCTTCCGCAGTCACCTTGAAAACAAGATGGCAGCCACTAAGAGCTTTAAGCACGACTGGATGAGTCTATAGCTGTAGCTATGTATGCAGTTTTGGCAGGAGTCAGTTGCCAGAGCGTGCACAGCATGTGGACAGCATTCAAACTCTACTCGCGAAAGACGAAATCGCAGGCGTGTGAGCTGCTCCAGCGGGCAATCAGCCTGTCGAGTGATCCGGAGGAGCTTCTTGTTGTGACGGCGCCATCCACATCGGATGTACGGCCCTCAACACGATACGTGTTTCGCTTCTGCCCAATATCCACCAACTGAGGATGCAATTTCATTTATAGAGACAGAGAGGAGCCCCGTTCAAGAGACCCATGCCCCCAGGAACCCTAACGGACCTAACCTCTCGTATGCTGCGTGCTGTGTCTCCAGTCTCCCCCTTGAGTAATGGGCGCCAAGAGTCGATGCCAGACTTGCGCTGATTGTGCCCGAGCTGACATGTGAGTGCACGCGGCAGGAGGCCCTGCACGTGAACTTGGGCCACGCCCTCCTCCAGCAGGGAGCTGAGCTCGGCCTGCGAGGGAGACACAGAGAGTTTAGAGGTCAGCACGCCACTTCCATGCGCGTCTTGGGTCGTTCGTCGGGGCCTCTTTGCGAACGGTCCCAGTCCCCTGCAAGAGACCTTAATCTCCCCATCATCGTCTTCATTCCGCTCACAACTCGAGGCATGAAGCTGTCTGCGTGTGGGTACAGGTCATGTTCCGCATGGGGGGCTTATCGCTAGAAGCCTGTTCCTGCCCGCGGTTTACCAAGCTGAAAGATTCTGGCTATCTGTAATGGCTGTTAAAGATACATCATAAACTTTGTGCCTGGTCAAGCACAAGAGTTTCCATGCGGGCTTTCGCAGACAGACATGGGATATCTGCTGTAGATCCCTCTCTGACCCTACCAATAATGTTACGTATATCAATATATCGCAAGATCTTGAATATATTGCTGCAGCAATCTCCTAGTGTACGACCGTATTATGTATCTGACACGACGATGGCGAAGCATAGCAGTGACTTCGCGCGGATTCCATAATGATAGCATAAAGCACCATGCACTAGCATGAATTAGCGTGAATCTGCTGCTGCGAATCGAGAGTATAGTATTTGTGTCTCGCTTGGTACCATTCGAGAACACTCATGACGGCATGACGAAGGGCCCATGATCTCCCGGTAGGCTTGGGGCTAGTGCGGGGCAGTCGTGAGGGCAGGGAGGTCGTCCACATCCCAGGGTTGGGACCCATCGAGTGGATTTTACAATCGGCACATGGATGAACACGAACCTGCGATTTTTTAGACGATGCTGTGAGTCTGGAGGTGCGGCCTTCATGCCAGAGCTTTGGAGGTGCTTTGCTACACAAGCAAGAGTTCTGAGTTCCGGATTGTTGTTGTTCGGCTTCGTGTTACGTCCGGCCGCCCCTTGCACGGAGGCTTTCCGCGCGGGCTTGCGGCTGCAGCCGCAAAGCAGGGGAGCTTTGTCGGGCGTGGCCTTTGCCCTGCAGCTGCAGGCCAACTAGCTTCGCTCCATACTGGTCTATGCTCATGCGCACCTGCTGGGATTCCTCATTGCACGAGGGGTTGGGGTGAGGCCAGATGCGGCCCAAATCGTGATATGTGCGGGCAATAAATGCATTCACCAGGGGACCGGCTTTGGATCGGATGCTTCAGGGGGTCAGCAGGGCGGTTTCGGTGTCGTCCTCCTTTCGATTTGCTTGGAGTGCTTTAGTGAGACCTTCCCCCAAGCCCCGAGAGCAGATCAGTCCCGCCAGGGGAAGTTGGACGAGGCTGGAGAGAATTCGAGTCGAGCGGTTTCTCTAAGCAAAGTCTATACTTAGAGTTAGGCAGCATACAAACGAATGCAGCCCACGCCTGACTGTCTTGGCCGCTTCGTTGTGATCTTCGATGCTCGTGTCAGCTCAGATAACCAGCCATTCAACCGCAGAAGAAGCTTTCAAGCCTGGGAACCACCACCTTAAACCCTTGCTGCAGAGCCGACAAGACAGCTCGTAGCGCTGGACTCCGGAAGCTACCCGACAAGCTGAGGACGCCGAGGCCATTTTTGACCCAGTGCCCTGCTCTGAGCCATGGCCTCCGAACTGGGAATCACCACTCGCCGCCCAGGCTCTTCGGGCTCGGGCCTCGAAGGGCAGTTGTGGTGAAGATTGGGTTCTTGTTCAACAGCTTTCTTTGGGCTACCATACTACGGGTGTAGAGGGATGTTCATACGGGGATTGAATCATTAGACACTTTGGGCTTTCCCTGTTAAAGTCATCTCAAACTGAGCTCCTTGACAACAACCTGGTTGGTTCTGTTGAAGAAGGCTGCTAGGGTTCCTTTGGTTACAACGGCTTTTCCGAACGGGTTTTGGAGACTGGGGGAAATTTCAGCCCTGTGGAACCAGGCACACTGTGCTATCCTATTCACGACAGGTTCTTCTTTATTGTGGTTTAATGAGCCTCCTGACCAGCATGAAACGAAGTGCCCGGTTCCAACATGAACAGTCCAAAGTCGAGCAACGCAAATTCCGAGCTATGAATTTTCACGACGTTTATGTCAACTGTTGATAACTGTTGCACGCCGGGCGGCATTCCTCGCTCCTAGGTTTAGGGTTTAAGAACCCCTAAACAAGCTCCTACGGTGCCAGTCAACTCAAGCCAAATTCCCGGATTCAAACCCAGAAATTCCACCAACCCTCACATCACAGTAGAACGACAATTGAAAATGAAATACAGTGAGAAAAACAAACTATGTGCGTGTTGAATAGACAAGGAACCAGTATAATAATCATAAATACAAAACAACGAGGTATGATAAGCCGTCAAAGATTGTTGCAGTGCCGAATCACATGCGACAGTTATTGCTCAACGCTGAGTTCCTTAAGAACCAGTTTATGGTATTACGCAGGATAACACGGTCAAATTGAAATTCCCATGAACAGTGATGCAAAGGATGACATTAATTAGTAAACAACCAGAACTCGCCAGTGGAAGCAACTCCTTTGCTAAATTGGATCGGGCAATGCACTCTGGAATAGAATGTAAACATACGGGGAGGTTTTACATTACAACCCTTGAAGCCAAACCTAGTGAGACCAAATAATATCTGTGAAAGAACCATGTTTTGTGGATGATAACACAACCTGTGGGAGTATGGATGAGGTACAGTTTATCCTATAGAGAAATAGTGGTCATATTTGGGTAAGATGTTGGGACGAGTATAGGAATAAATCTGTAGTGGAGTGGCTGCTGTTACTGCTACCCAAAACGGGAAGGGCTCCACTCAGGCATTCCGCTCTAGCATGCTCTAGCTTTGACTCCCCGGCTCACAGGGTCTCTCAAATCTACAGGTCCCATTTGGCGTCAGCGGGGCCGTGAGGTGCCACCACAGCAGAGGCTGTGCCGCTTCGTGCGGTATGGTATGGTTCCATATCTCGGAATGTTGTAATGTTTTACCGTATAACAGCACGAATTCATCGCATGTCGCACGGAGCTCTGCTGAAATGCCCCAATAGGATGCAACCTGTGTTGTACGTTCCTCCTGTTGTGATGGCGCTTGATCGCCGTGGTCGAATTCCGCCAGGACTCTACGAAGCTCGCTTTCAAACACTACAGGCTATGGCTTTGTGCGGCCAGCAGCCATCTCAACCTTAGCTGCTCAGCTAATAGGTCGTGGGGCTTGTGCAATCTGTCGGCAAAGGCGAATGGGCCTGTAGTAGGTTTCATATTGCGAAGCCCTTATTACACATGAAATGTTTGGGCATGTGCTGGTCATCCCGGGTGCTGCATTCTGAACTCTGAAGCCATGACAACACTCCTGTCTAGTCGTGACAGCAGGCCCGTCGTAAGTCTAGCATCTTCTTTATCAGTGGCGTCTCATCGTCGCTAATGACATGGTGTCAGGAATGATGGGGATGAATTGATCGCGTGTCTTTGGAGATTGACTTTCACGGCTGCATGATTATTCTGGGTTTGTGCTTCCTATATGTTCTTGCAGATGCTTGGTTCAATGTCAAAAAGCGATGTACAAAGCAATCATTCTTCCCACAGAATGAATGTGGGCAGTGTGTCTTTCAACATGCGCCTCGTGATACTCTCAGATTTACACGAAGCTGAGGGGAGCCTAGGCCACAAGCTGACGGTATGCTCTTGAAAGCTGATTCGCCAGCCCTCCACCCCCAGCCCGAAAGCCCGCCCAGCTCTGCATGATCTTGACTCCAAATACTCCGAGCTTCAGGCCTGGCTACGTCGGGGCCGGCGCCGCCAGCCTCTACGACGGGCACAGCGGGCGACACCGGCAGCGTGGCAAACCCTGGCCCACGTTGCAAAGGATGTTTTTTGTTGGGGGCGCCCAACTGGATCATCGACCTGCGGGCATAGCAGGGCAGTGGCATCGCCTGGCCATTGTAGCTTTGTAACCGGCCCAGACTCCCAGACCTCGTTCAGCGGCAGCCAAATTGTACAAACTTGTCGATCTACTATGCTTGCAGCAGTATAGTATATACATATACATATTAAAAAGATTCATGGTATACGGCATACACATATACATTCTGTTCTGGGCTTGATGAAAATGCGTTGGCTTCCTGACAGCTCCGCATCTGTTCGGGTTTGGGTCGAGCCTGCGGTCTCACGAGAGCCAGTGTGATGAACCTGAGGCCCACTTGTGACCGAAACCAGGAGGCCAAAGCCCCATATACACGTTTGCAGTTGTGGAAGCGTTTTGTGCCCTAAGCCTTCTAACACAGGTTTTTGCGCCACTGCGTGGAACTGTTGCTGCAGATGGTGAGGACCGGCTTGAGCTCAGTATAGAGGGTTGGCACTGATACGCCAGCATACGCCAGCGAAGAAGCTGAAATGTGAGATGGCCAGAGGGATTTACAGGGCGAGTGTGGTTCTCTCGGGCTATTCTGCCTGTGGACTTCTGGTAATTCTGGATCTGGGTGCTCGAAGGGAACAGGTCACCTAGCCACCCTGCCTCATCCACTCTTGGAAAGGATCCGGATGTCGTTGCGGAGCAGATCAGAGGGAGTCCTGACATAGCCTGCCCTTTGTCACGCAGGCTGAAGGACGTGGTTTTTGTGCCCTTCGGACAGCAGAGCAAGTCCCACGTGTTGATTGTAATTTTAGCCTGAGATTGCAAACTTGCTGGAGGGGTGTTGGGAGGGGCACGCTGAAACTGAAACGTAATTTCACAGTGATTGCAGATCGTACCGAGAGCGCTTGGCAATGTGTCGGATTGAATTGTTTGCGTGGTGAGTGGTGAATCTCATCTCCCATCTCCCAGCCCTGCCGTGCAAACCAGACCCACTGCGCATTGGAGATGCAATTGCGGATTCAGGAAAGAGATGAGAGATGCCATGGCTTCAGGGGAATTTGCCGTCAGCCTTTCGGGGGCCCAACAGTTGGCCCTCATCGATTATCAGACGCTTGGATCTGCACTGGAGGTAGATCGTTAAGTTTAGTTTGGGATGGCCAGTGGCTCATCACAGCAACTTGCAGCCGACCCCAAAGACCAGTGACACCGACGTCTCGGTCTAAAGAAGAAACTCGTCGTTCGGATGAAGTGTTTCCGGTCCTTGGACACAGGTGCTTGTCTTTCCGGTTTCGTGAAGTTTGTGTGCTATCCGACGATTAAACATAGAACGCGCTCGAGCCTGACAACCAGATGTTTGATCCCAGATCTCGCCAATCAGGAATCTGTGCAACAAGTTGCACAATTTCGCCTGCAAGCTTGAGCAGGACGAGATTGAAACCGACGTGCTGAGCCCGCTAACCAGCAGCAATGTGGATTCTGGTTGAACACGAACGGGGATAAGTCTTGCATATGGTAGAGGAGCCAGGCAATACTAGTGGCTTTTTTCTCTGCGGTGGACTGCGTAATTGCAAACTTTGCGTGTCACGGGTCTTGGCAATGGAGCCTGTGGCTTTTGGGCAACGATTCGAAAGAAGGCCGTTTTTGGGCGATGGTCCCAGACCTTAAGAAAGCCCACGAAAGCTTTGCAGGTTGGAGCGGGCGAAAAACTTAGCGCAGCTGTCTAAGATTTGCACCTTGGCTCGCAGGTTGGCCTACGCGGATCTCCCATTTAAACTAGATGACCTGTTGGAGATTCTTTCTTGACTTGCATCCCATGGTGTAGAGTGTAGGGCACAGACATGGAAGCCGTTGCCACGTTTAGATACTTGAGATAGGTTGATCGATCGATAGATCGGTATAGGTCGACAGATCAACACGTCCAGCGATAGACATGGTGACAGCCGAAACCGTGGAAGATCCAAGTTATGAATTCCCATCAAGTGAAGAAGCAGTCTTCCGACTTTGTGTTCTTCCAACTTGTGCCTTCGCATGCTCTTTCTGGATTCATTCAGGGCTTTGTTGGATTGCCGTTGGATTTGCGCTTGAGTCCTTGTTGGGTTCCCTTCGGTCTCTCTCTCTCTCTCTCTCTCTCTCTCTCGGGATCTCTCGGGATCTCTCGGGCCATCATGGGCCGTTTCGGGGTCCCTTTTAGTTGGGGGCATCCCATCTGAGCTCTCGTTTGGTGCCATAGTTTCTGCAAGCCCAAAACTTGGAAGAAGGTCTATGTAAGACGTACATCAGGCATGAATACACACAAGCAGTTTGCGCATAAATCCAGGTTAGCCAGAAACGATTAGTCCCGCCCCTCATCGTTCAGTCTCAGTGTCTACGGGTTTTTGCGTGTGCATGTATACACACATGCATATATGTATAATATACGCATACCCATACATGTATGAACTAGCCTTCCAAGTGCGAAGGACCTGAACTATTATCCCCCATGCCGACGGAGATATAGGTGATCGCTGTAATCACGCATTTCATATGTTGATCTTCGTATCGGCGCCAAATGTACGCCAAATCTTCCTGTACCTTCTATACAACCTCTGTGCGACTGGGAAGGCCCGACCCCTCCGTGTTGGGGACTGACTGGCTAGTATGCAGTTGGTGACCAGGTGTCGGTGCCCTTGGGTTCGAGGCTTCGGTTTTTGCCCTCGGCTTTTCCCCCGCGAACCTTCTGCCCATGACTCAGGTGATCAGCTTGAGGAGTACATCCTGAAGATGGCAAAAACGGATTGGCAGTCCAAGGCAGACCCTGACCACTGAAAGGGACTTGTAGGCGGCTTTACGACTGCGGATGCCATCTTATCCGAGCTGCCGTAGGCAAAACAAGTGGGGCCCAGGGTTCAGCCTGAACTTCACATTAGCTCAGGGCTGCAAGCAGAACCTGGACTGCAGCGCATGTATCCGCAGTCTTCCAACTCCGTTCTACGAGCCCTCCACACCCAGCATAGGTGAGGTTTTGTCTCGTCGCAGTTTGTTTTTGCATCGGAGTTGCCCTGCTGTGGAAGGGCGCCAGCTCCAGTGGCGATGCCAAGTCAGGCCGGCTACAGGATCCCAGGCCCAGTGGTCGCTGCATGGCTCTGCTGTAGGTGTGTGTGGGTCCCAGGTCCTACTCCATCCGGAGTGAGAACGTGAGGTCTCCTCTTGACAAGACAGAACACCTTGGCATCGAAAGCGAACACCGAACACAACTGTTCGGCAAAGGTGGTGGATTGCGAGCACACCCGTGCAACCTGTAGGCAGTGCCGAAACAAGCCAGCCCAAGCAGACTCGACTCAGTAACTCGCAAATGTGGTCTGGCTAAGTCTCGACATTTCCAGGCGGCTCTCCTGGTACGTGGCCCGGAGACAATTGGCGGTTCTTTATGTTGGAGGTGCCAGGCATCATTACAAGCTTGGAGGATGCGGCACCATCAGCCCATATCAGCCCTAAAGCAAGCAAGGCTTAAAATTATTATGAGTCAGGCGCGCGCATGACCACTGCAGAGCTATGGGGTTCCAGAGGCAAGTGTATGAGGTTGTCAACGATTTTTGCAAGGAGGGGGTCGGTGATTGTCATTCCTGGAGAGCCGGGATGCTATGGAGGTGAAGAGGTAGTCAAGCCAGCGCTTGTGCAGCATGACGCAAAGCAGTGCGCTGCAGGTCCGGGACGATCAGACCGTCGACTTAGATGGAGCATTTAGCGACCCCGGCCGCTGGACTTGCACTGCAGTATCAGGCAGTCAGGGAAGAAGGACACTACCGGCAACAGCACCAGCACCACTACGTCCGTCCATGTGTCCGCCACATCAGCACCATCATCGTCATAAAAGCATCACGACCTGGTATCACCACGATCGCTATCACCCCAGAGCTATTCGCAGGACAGGTTTTGTCAGCAAAAGGCATCACACAGGGCAGAAGTGTCTGGGGCTGCTGCACGACGACATGAAGATAAGAGCTCCTGCACTCTCTGGCACAAAGACGCCAGAAACGCCCAGCTTTGGAAACAAGTTACGTGCCCGCAGACGACCTTGAGGCCGGAGGCCCCACCTTTTGCCTGCACCAAAAGACACGCATGCAGACACACAGACACACAGACACGCAGACAGACCTGAGAGCGTGAGACTGTCGTCGCAAACCGTTGCCCACAGAACAAGCCAGGAAAAGCAGCGCGCTTTTCTCGAGATTTGTGGGAGCGCTTGAGCCTCGTCGGCAGTTGGAGGGGCACCGTCTTTTTAGGCAGGTCGAGGGCCTGGGGCTCGATAGATTGAGAAAGGAGCGGCTCTGCTGTTTCATCCGTTTGTGACCCGTGTTGGCTGGTGCAGAGCGTTCCCTCCGTGATTTAGATTGTCGCTTGCCTGACACTGATTCCACGGGTATGTGTCTCAAAAAGAAGCAGTACAGTACTTTAATTTTCAAGCATGAGGAGCTCCATGCACCACCTAGACAAGATCTATTCTACACAAATAAAATAGGCAGCAATGTACATGTGTGTATGTATATATACATATATACATGTATAGCTGTATATATTGCCTGCATATGCCCCCGCCCTCCCCATGATCTACCAAACGTGGGTCTGGGGAAAAGGGCCAGGAACTCAACCCATGACAGCTCTCTCCCCTGCTACCTTTTGGCCGAACGTCGGCCAAATGTTCATTTTAGAAGCTTGTTTTCAGATCTGACAGCAGTGGCAAAGACATGAACGATGCAACCTTCTCTCTTTTTCCTCTACGATAGGGTAGGACTCTGAGCCGATCAAAGGGCAAATGGAGTGCTTTGTTCATCGCTCAGTAGTTTCGGGAGCTTGCGCAATCATCAACCGAATGGTATTGGCTTTGGCTGGACACCGTAACCCTGAAAGCACAGTCATCAGTTCGATTGGCTCAAAGCCAAAATAGTGGCCCTCACTGTGCAACAACTTGATCCGCCTTTCAGCGGGAAGTGAAGGACTGGCATGAACCGGTCGTAATGGCATTAATGTTGTCTTCACACACAAGTAAGACGAAAGACCAAGTAAAGCCGGATTTGCAGTTCGAACGAAGAGTGTATTTGTAAACGGTTATGTCTTAATCTGAATGGCTCTCTGAATGACGTCCATCTGCATTGTTTAACACATTAGGCACGACTCATGCTGTACCATGGTTTGTCATATGTCATCCCGACTGTTCTTTATACGTGCATATATAAGACATGTATTGCACTAGCTATAAAGGAAACACTGTAGAAGATCATCGCAGCATCCTGGACTCCTGCTTCTCATGCGAGTAAGTTTCTGGTCTGCACTGACGCTAGCTGGCAAATTCAGTTTGCAATTCGGACTCATGCGTCCCGCTGTCAGTGCAGAGTGTTGTGACCTGTATTTGCTGTATTCACTGCAGAACTAGGCGATCCCGTTTGTGTACCTAGGCCGCCCTTTCTGTCTATAAATTGTTACGGGGACCAGGAAAAGGGTTTGGGAGTCGATCCTGGGCAACACAATCCCGAATTGTCGCACCGTTGCTACAGTGCTGCAGTCTCAATCGGCATCATCTCGAACATTCATTGCCAGCAAGCTGTGAGCCGAAAGTTTGAACTTTTTGAGCCCGGACTCTTTACGGAAGACTCGATGCATAGAGCACGCGGAAGGAAGCAGGGACACGCGATGATTGTAGGATGAGCGGATGAGCCTACACAGTACTACCCGCTGATCACAGGAATGGGCAGAGTCACGGGGGTGAACCGAAGACTCCACCAAGCGACTCGCCGCTTGCAGCCGCGAGAGCAGTGGAGCTGAAGGCGGCGAAGGCGCCCGATGTGGAAGATGTCCTCTGCCATTGAACGCACTTGTGACGCAGAGCCAGGGACCGACATGCCTGTTTTCTTCCATGTTCTGGTTGCGCAGCCTCAGAATACTGTTGGGAACGGTCAAAGCTGGAAGTGCCCTAAACCGTGGCACTCACTGTTATTGACAAAAACCGCCACCGCCAGATCTGCAATTCTGCAATCTCCTTTAGCTGGGGATGTTATAACGTTGTTGAGAATGCAGCTGCAGCAGAATGCCACAGCTATCACAACAAAGGTCACAGCACATCAACAGCAAGAGTTGGAAGGAAAGCCGCCAACAAGGCAGCAGCAACATAATTGCACATGCCTATCATCACCAACGGGAAAGGCAGAAAGTGGTGCCTATCGTTGCTGTTGCTGTTGCTGCTGATGCTGCTGCTGTTGCTGTTGCTGTTGTTGTTGCGGTTGCTGTTGCTGCTGCTGCTGTTGCTGCTGCTGCTGTTATTGGTACCGTGGTGGTGATGGTGGTGGTGGTGGTGGTGGTGGTGGTGGTGGTGGTGGTGTTGGTGTTGGTGTTGGTGTTGGTGTTGGTGTTGGTGGTTGTTGTTGTTGGTTGTTGTTGGTTGTTGTTGGTTGTTGTTGGTTGTTGTTGGTTGTTGGTTGTTGTTGTTGTTGTTGTTGTTGTTGTTGTTGTTGGTGTTGTTGTTGTGTTGTTCTTGTTGTTGTTGTTGTTGTTGTTGTTGTTGTTGTTGTTGTTGTTGTTGTTGGTG